GGGCCGCGGAGCCCCGGAGGACGGGGGCGGCGGGGACAGCCCGCCCTGGGCCGGGGCCCGGAGGCCGAGGAGCGCTGGCAGCCCCGGCAGGGCGCTCTCGGATCCGCCGAACCTCAGCAACCTGGAGGAGTTCCCTCCCGTAGGCTCGGTGCCCCCCGGGCCCGCAGGGTGAGAACCAGCCCGCGGCAGGGCGAGCGCGGCTGGCTGGTGGGGTGAGCAGTCGGTAGCAGCGAGGGCTTTGCGAGAGGCCTAACTGGTGTGGTAGAGGGAGTGGTGCCTGGACCTAGAAATGTAAGAAAACCTGTGGCCACTCTCAGCAGGACGAAGCCTTCACGAAGGATCAACCCAACTCCGGTGAGCGAAGAACGGTCACTGTCCAAGCCCAAGACCTGCTTCACCTCACCCCCAATCAGCTGTGTCCCCAGTTCCCAACCCTCAGCCCTGGACACTAGCCCTTGGGGCCTTGGCCTTCCCCCAGGGTGCAGAAGTCTGCAGGAGGAGCGGGCGATGCTCAGGAAGGAGCGGTATGGCCTTGCCGCTCGCTGGATGTCCGCTTCCTCCCGTGGGGGACCTGCAGGGCTTTCCCTCCAAAGTGATTCCTCCCGGGGCCTCGGGTTTGCTGCCTGGGCTGTTGATAACCTTCTCTGAGGGACCCCTGTGACTGTGACCTGGAAGCCAGGCTGACTATTCCTGATCTCTCTCTGTCCTCATAGCTCTAAGCAGCTGCAGCAGTCACCAACCCCCACCTGTCCCACCCCAGAATCGGGACTGCTCCTCCCCAGCCGGACAGGAAGCCTCACAGTGGAGCCCGCTGACCCTGCTCGAGTGTCCTCCCGCCAGCGCCTAGAGGTGGTAGCCCTAGTCTACTCCTCCTGCATTGCTGGTGAGAGCCCAGGGGGCTGCAGGGAGCCACGTGCAGAACTGCAGTGCAAGAGGAGCATCAAGGCGTGCAGAACAGAGCCTCAGTTCCAAATGGTGCCCAGTACAATGGGATTTCTTTTCATACCCAGAAAATCTGGTACCAAACCTCTTCTTGGAGCTTTTCTTCGTCCTTCAGCTCCTTACTGCCCGGAGGATGGTGGCTGCTAAGGATAATGACCTTGAACCAAGTCAAGGTACCCTGGGTCAGTGAGCAAGCCCGGTTTTGAGAGTGGGCTCTGCAGATGGGATGGTCCTTCCTGACAGCTCATTGCTACCCTAGATTCCCTGGAAAGCCCACTGTTCCAGAGCATCCACGACTGTGTCTTTTTTGCTGTCCAGGTTTTGGAGCATCAGTTTCAGTGAGTTTCCTGGATGAGGCGTTTGGGCCTTGTTCTCTTTGTCTGTCTAGTTCTCAGGCCACTCTGGGTATGCTTGTGCATAACATAGGTACAATAGCCCTAGACCTTTTCTTGTTTGTAAAAATTCTGTATCAAGGCTATGGATTTATCCCCTCAAAAAAGTCAGACAGCCTTGGCAGCAAGGCTGACACTTCTGGCCTGCTTGCTTGTTCTCTGCTTCATGGAGTGTGACTTCCTCACCATTTGTCTCCGTCACAGTGACCCTTGGTGTACCTGCTTCCTGTTCCAGATGCACTATGTATATCATCTGGTCCTAGTCGCAGTCAGGTATGTTCTTGTCTTTGCAGGATTCTGTCCTATCTGGACAAAGGGACCTTAAAGCTGCTGGCTGAGAATGAACGGCTGCTGTGCTTCTCCCCAGCTCTGCAAGGCCGCCTTCGAGCTGCCTATGAGGGCAGCATTGCCAAGGTAGTGACACCGGCTGAAATGCTCACTGGTCTGGACCTGCCCTTCCCACCTTTCACAAATAAATTTAGGCAGTCTGCTCTCTTACCATTAAGTGACCCATGGAATAACTTGGCCAAACAAGGGGCCACATTTTCTGACCATCATTCATCAGGCTTTAGTTCTAATGTCACTGCCATGTTTCAGGTCTCTCTGACGATGCCACCCTCTGCTCAAGCTGTTTCCTTTCAGCCGGAGACTGACAATCGTGCCAATTTCTCCAGTGACCGCGCCTTTCATACTTTTAAGAAACAGAGGTGAAAAGGGAACTTTGGGGAAGGGGATGAAGTAACATTTTCTTTGGAATAGGCAGCTGTTTTATTGTCACAGAACCTAGAAGTCTAGCTAATAGTACCACCAGGCCCTTCATGACAACCACTGGAGAACTGTCACTGTTCTGTGCTCATGGACTTGCACCCTGAGCTTAGCCATCTCAGCACATGACCACACACAGTTCCTTTCTCAGACAAGTGTCTGGATTGACTTGCTGCTTGCTGCCCACAGAATCAAGTGCACAAGGGCTGTAATAAGTAGCTGGGTCTGTGGCATCTTCAGCGTAATTTGGAGGCTGAGGAATGGGGCTGTGGGCAGTGCTGACTTTGGCTTTCCAAGCCAAGGAGGCTATACTTGGCAATGAGTGAGGCAACTGTGTAGTGGCTGATCAGGCATTGTGTGTCTGTCAGGGATGTGTTCTATGAAGTGCTGCGAGAGTGGGAAGATCACCATGAGGAGCCTGGCTGGGACTTTGAGAAGGGATTGGGCAGCAGGATCAGGTGGGTGCTCCTACCCTAGTCACCATTCTTCTTGCTTCTGACAGTGAACAGCTCAGTGTTGCTCAGCCAGCTGCTAGAGGAAGGCTTTCTCTACTACTTCCAACCCAGTTATTTTCTCCTCAGTCTGGTTCTTAATAGGTCTGCCTGTGCTCAGAGAGGTTCTATCTGCCTGGTTCTTCCACTCCAAAGTGCAGAGGGCTTAATTTGTTGCTTAGATTTTGTATTGAGTCACTGACAAGATTCCTTCCACTTCATCTTTTCCATCCTGTAGTTTAAGCAATTCTCATGGCTTTGCATAGGTAGCTGACCAGCCTGTACAGTTTCCTTTGTCTTCTTCATTCATGTTGGTCATGGTACTCAGTGTGGCCAGCAGACCTGGATGTGGCATTTGTTTGGTTAAGTGCACCTCTAGCCTCACAGCATCTTGATGCTGAGTGGGTTCCTCATCTCCCATAGCCAAGTAGGCCAGCTCTGTGCTGGTCCCTGAGAAATGACTTAAGAAGCCCACACACTGGCTTGCTGTGTAAGTCTTTCTCCTTCCCTGCTTCCCGCACTCCATGCCTGCCTCTTACTCCCCAGAGCCATGATGAGTCAGCTGTCTGCAGCCTGCAGCCACAGCCACTTTGTTCGGCTTTTCCAAAAACAACTTCTTCAGGTAATAGCCTTTGCAGTAATTTAACCTACAGTGACCAGCAGGTATTATTGGCCACCAGGGGAAGGTGACACTCTAGACCTGAGGAACGCTCTCAGCAGCATCCAAGTTCTTTGGATGGTATTTCACACTTGGGTGCCAGTGTAGAAATGGCACTCTGACCTCCCAGTAGCCTGTGCCCCACACCTCATGCCCTCCCAAGCCTGTTACCACCTTTTTCCCTTGATTTGTGCCAGCATAGAAAGAGGACAGGCTTAACAGTCCAACCTCTTCACATCCCACCTCTAGTGACCCTGGGTAAGTGCTTATGTTTAGTTTCACTTTCTTCACCTTTAGGATCAAAATATAATTCCTGCCTCAAGAACTGCCCAGAGGGCCAGTGAAATAGCAAACTAAGTGCCTGCTTAGGCAAGCGCGGGGACTAGGGTTCAATCCCCAGCACCACCTGCCATGCTGGCCCTGCCCCCCCCCCAAGTCACTGAGCTACTGAAAGGGTATGGTGGCACACACCTATAATCCCTGCCCTAGGGAGCCTGAAAACAGGAGGATCACTAGAGTCTGAACTGGGTAGTGAGACCTATACCAAATACAAAAAAAAAAAAAAGACCTGCCCAGAGCCCCTGACATGGAACTAGCTTTCCTTATGTTGTTCTGTGTTTGGCCCTGTCTGTCTCTTCCCTCGGCTACCTAGATGTACCAGAGCCCTGGTGGTGCTGGGGGCCCTGTCTTGGGTGAGGCCTCAGATGTGCTGAATATGCTGGGAGCTGACAAGCTGGGGCGTCTACGGCGGCTCCAGGAACGGCTTGCAGCCCCTCCAAGCAGTGGGGGACCCTGCCCACCCCCCACCTTCCCAGGTTATCAAGGTTTCTTCAAGGACTTCATCCTGAGTGCCAGCAGGTAAAGGTCCTGTATTTTGCTGGGTGAGGGGCAGAATTAAGTGGAACGAGTAGTCTCATTTTTTTGTCCCCATCCTTCTCCCTCTTCCAGCTTCCAGTTTAATCAGCATCTCATGGATAGTCTAAGCCTGAAAATCCAGGAGCTCAATGGCCTCCCACTGCCTCAGCACGAACCTGCAGATGAAGATGGAGAGTCAGATGTGGACTGGCAGGTTAGCAGAATAAGGCAGGACTGGGCCTGACCTGGTGAGAAGGGTAGATAGTACATAGGAAGACAGATTTGGAAATATTCTAAAGCCCTATGTGAATCACCATTGCTCCTTTGGTTCCTTGCAGGGTGAACGGAGGCAGTTTGCCATGGTGCTTCTTAGTCTGAGGCTTCTGGCTAAGTTTCTGGGCTTTGTGGCTTTCTTGCCATACCGGGGGCCTGAACCACCCCAGAGCCGGGAGCTTCAGGACTCCATTGTGGCCCTCAGAAGCCAGGTGAATAAGCACAAAGTCCTGGGAAGGAGGGAGCTGGGAGACTGGCAGAATGCAGAGGCTGACTGTTTTCTTGGCTGTTCTGGAAAGCTGGCAGGTGAGGAACAGCACCCAGCCCCCCCTGCCTGCTGACTGAGCCCCGGCTCTCCCAGGTTCCTCCTGTCCTGGATGTGCGTACACTGCTGCAGCGTGGGCTGCAGGCCCAGCGGGCAGTGCTCACAGTACCCTGGCTGGTGGAGTTCCTGTCCTTTGCTGACTACATCGTCCCCTTGCTTGACTACTACCGGAGCATCTTCACACTTTTGCTACACCTATACCGGTAAATAGACAAGGCTAAGAGGGGGCTCAGTAGGCTGAAGCTGGAGAACTTCTGTGAGCTACAGGCCATCCTGGACTACATAGTGAGTTCCAGGCCAGCCTGAGCTACGTAGCAATCCTGTCTCAAATTAATGTGTGGAGACGTTGTGGGCAGGCCTGTTGCTCCTAAAGAGGCAGAGCATCCTGGGAGTTCCTGTGCAGCTCCACAGTCAGCCCTGAACTTAGAGAGGCCACTGGCCCACAGTGAGGATCCATGTGTGGTTTGCCTTGCCCATGGCCCAGCAGAGGCTATAAGAGATGCTGGTGTCCATACCTCTTACATGTGACAGCAGTACCTGTGAGGTCTGCGTTTGAGAACAGTCCTCTCAGCGATGGCCTCTGTTCAGTCCTTCCCATCCCTGAACACTCAGGTCCCTTCACATCCTCCATTGACCTTTCAGGAGCTTGGTCTTATCACGGGAGGGTGAAGGAGAGATGTGTTTCCTCAACAAGCTGCTGCTGCTAGCTGTCCTGGGCTGGCTTTTTCAGGTGGGAAGCCTGTGGGTCCCAACATAGTGGGATGGGGTGGAGTTGCAGCCACCCACTAGCCTCGGGAGGGCCGTATGGTCCTTGACCCTTGCTTGGCCTGTGATGTCTCAGAGTATGGAGTCTCAGAAATAACCAGCTAGAGCACGGCTGCTGTCTCTTGCCAGATTCCCACAGTCCCTGAGGATTTCTTCTTTTTGGAAGAGTGTCAGGTGGATGCCTTGGAAGTGGACACAGCCACTTCAGAGCGTGGCTTGGTGAGTGTTGTGGTTGGACCAGAGCATGGGTGCCCAGGAATATAGTGAGCTCTGTGGGGAAACTTGAGCTTCATAGCTTACCTACCTGATAGCCACCCCTGGGCAAGCTGGGGAGGACTACCACCACTTCTTCCGCAGGACAGTGTGCCTGTGGTGGACCAGCAGCTGCTCTACACCTGCTGCCCCTACATCGGTGAGCATGGACTTCTCTTGCATGCTCAGGGCACCCCGCCGCTGGCCAAATCCCAGAGTGGTGCCCTGAGCCCAAGTCTATATCACTGGGGAGGAGTGGGCAAGGTGGCAGATTTCTAGGACAGAGAACTGAGACTTCCCTGCTGCAGGAGAGCTCCGGAAACTGCTCGCTTCATGGGTTTCAGGCAGCAGTGGACGGAGTGGGGGTTTTGTGAGGAAAATCACCCCCACCACCACCACCAGCCTAGGGGCCCAGCTTCCCCCAAGTGGCCATGGACTCCAGGTAGGAGCACGAGTGGTGGGCGGGTGCCAGCCTAGAAGTCTTCTCGGGCCTCACAACACTGCTTTCTTCACAGGCACAGCTTGCTCAGGCCTTTTTCCACAACCAGCCTCCCTCACTGCGCAGGACTGTGGAGTTTGTGGCAGAGAGAATTGGGTCAAACTGTGTCAAACATATCAAGTAAAAGCACCTTGCGGGTCCCCTACCATTTTCCCCTTAAAACACCATGTTGCCAAAGGGAAAAAAGGCAGGTGGGAGAACAGGAGGCTGACAGGCCCTTGGGGAAGTTATAACCCAATGTTCTTAAATTCCTAGTCCCTTTCTAATTCAACCCTTCCAACTACCTCAAACCTTGCTGTCCCTGCTGCAGGGCAACACTGGTGGCAGATCTGGTACACCAAGCGGAGTCACTTATCCAAGAGCAGCGAATGACACAAAGCCAGGAAGTGGGAGATCCAGCCCAGCTCTTGGAGATTCTGTGTTCCCAGCTGTGTCCCCATGGGGCCCAAGCATTGACCCAGGGGCGGGAGTAAGAATCACCAGTCCCTTTGGACCTTCTCCACTCCTCTTGGCTTATTTTTCTATTTGCTCTCCCCTTTCACATTCACATCCTTTACCCCCAACCCCATTTTCCTGAGGCACGAAGGTCAAGGCTGACTTGATGGGTGGGCTTCTCCCTTCAGCATCTGGAGTGGGGTGGGATGTAGGCAGTGCTTCTGTGCAGGCCTCACAGCCTCCTCCTGTTTCCTTTGAGGTTCTGCCAAAGGAAGAGCCCTGGGGCTGTGCGGGCACTGCTTCCGGAGGAGACCCCAGCAGCTGTATGTAATAGAGGCCTGTGTTGTGGATGTGTGCATCTGTGTGAAGCCGCTGGGAGTACAGTCAGCCATGGACTCTGGCAGATGTCTTTGTCCCTGGCCCCTAACTTGCTGTTCTTCCCTCCCAGGTTCTCAGCAGTGCAGAGAACATTGCTGTGGGGCTGGCCACGGAGAAGGCATGTGCGTGGTTGTCAGCCAACATCACAGGTGAGGTCGTATACCATTTTGAATGACAGACCAGAAACTATGCGCAGTTTGGGAAGATCAGTCCCAGCCAGGTGGAAACCAGAAAGTTGTGGGTTGGCATGGCAAGCCTGTTTGGATATCTCAGTGACCTGTTCCTGTTCTTCCCTGCAGCACTGATCAGGAGGGAGGTGAAAGCGGCTGTGAGTCGCATTCTTCGAGGCCAGGGTCCTGAACCAGCTGCCCGGGGGGAGCGGAGGGGCTGCTCCCGCGCCTGTGAGCACCATGCTCCCCTCCCCTCCCACCTCATCTCCGAGATAAAAGTACACAGCTCCCTACTCCCTTTGGCTCCCTAATCCCTCTCCCCGCTGTTCCTGGTTTCTTTCCTTTCCCACATCAGCTGCAGGATTTCTTTGTAGAAGCTTTCTGTGCTGTCTAATTTGTTTCATTTGTTTACTGAGTTAGGTAAGGTGGAACATAGTCACGGAGTTTCCTTCATGTTCCTGACTTGGCACTGACATCTCCCATAGCACAAAAGGGTCAGTCCAGTTTTTTGGTTTTTTTCTGTATTTTAGGGAAGGGTCTACAGGGTGTTCAGGGTCTTACTACTAGATCGGACTCTAGTGATTCCACCTGTTTACAGCCTCCCAAGAGCTGGAATTACAGCCTTGCCACCACACCCAATCGCAATTGCCATCTCAGCATGCCCCAGGGGCAGGGCTGGCAGGGCAAGCCCAGGGATCGCCCAGGCACCTTTTTTTTTTTTTTTTTTTTTTAACTCAGACCCCTGTGCTTGGCTTATTCTTCTGAGCCATCTCCCCCGCCCCTTGCAGGCACTTTAATCTGCTAAGCTATTTGGCCAGCCCTCAGTCTAGTTTTGACTAAAGTGTATTTTACACATATGGCAGTGGGGACAGGTGTCTTGTGGCTGTGAAGGGGCAGTCTAAGGGGCAGTCACTCCAGGAGCAGAGGCGATTCATGTATGGAAGATGCTTTCTTAGTTATAAAATGACAGTTTTCCTTAGTTTAAAAACTTTAGACTTTGTAAAGGATCAGCAAATAGTGTATAGAACAAATTGAGCTTTTTTTTTTCTTTTAACCTTGCATGCTTTTATTTTTTTAAGACAAAAGTCCTGCTCAGTTGCCCAGGATGGATAAAACCTGGCAGTCTTTCTGCCTCAGCCTCCCTTGAGTGCTACAATTATAAGTGTGTGCCTCACTGGTCTGAGACAGGTTCTTGCCATGTAGTTTAGGCTGGCCTTAAACTTGTCATTCTTCCTGCTTTAGCCTCCCAAGTGCTGGGAATATAGGACTGTGCCATCATCCCCAGCATGTTTTTGTAGTTTTGTTGGCTTTTCCATCTGTTTGTATTCATGCTGTCTACAGCTGCTTTTGTGCTTCGGTGGTAGTGCTGCAAAGCCTAGTATGTTTCCTCTGTGGCCCTGATCTAATGTAATAGTCTAGGAATAAAGTTGTGGAATAGGGACCAGAAAGCAATACTAACAACTGAGAGGGTGGCCACGAAATAACTGGTTCTCACTATACAGATTTGTACTGAAATCTCCATTGCGTGAGCTGAACAGAACCCTGAGGAATAGGAGACATTCAGATGTGTCTGGCAGGACAGTCCCCTGAGCACTGAGATGCCCTCTGGGAGTTGGTCAGGTGGTTTGTCCCAAGCTAAATGGTATTGCTGGAGCTGTCTGGCAGCTCATCCCTCCCTTTGGGTGTCCCCATGGTTAATTTTTCCTAGCCATGCTGTCCTGCCTGAGCCCCAGCTCTAGGGACCCCTTGGCCCAGTTGCTTCACCCCTGGGTCCTATTTTCCTTTTCCTTCTGTCCCTCTCCACTGACTGATTCCCTCTTCCCCACGCCTATCAGTGGCAACCTGGTCCCAGCCTGGCATAAGGTTTTGCCCTGCTCTCTATAGGATGTGCTGTCCCTTGCTGTGGGACCCCGAGACCCTGATGAAGGAGTGTCCCCAGAACACCTGGAACAGCTCCTAGGCCAGCTTCACCAGATGTTGCAGTGCCGCCAGGTGAGACTGGGCATGAGCCATAAAGAAGGCAGCAGAGCCACACTGACCTAGGGCCAGTTCTCCCAGAAGCGAGATGGTACTGATGGTCCCCTTTCCCCTGCAGTTCCTGTGCCCGCCTGCTGAGCAGTATCTGGCCAAGTGCTCTGTGGAGTTAGCGTCCCTCCTGGGTATGGCTTTTTATTGCACCCTGCTGGAATAACCTCCAGATATCAGGGATGGGTACAGGAAGACTGGAGGACAGAGTCCTCTTCACCTTCCATTTTTATTTTATTTTTTTTCAATATTTATTTGTTTATTTAGTGTGTGTGTGGCCAGCTCAGCCCACCAGGGGGCGGGCCTGGCTGGCATGTGGTGCTGGGGATTGAACCGCGGTCCCTGTGTTTTGCTTAGCTTAGCTTGTTCTAAGTAGGTGCTTTAGACCACTGAGCCATCTCACCAGCCCCTTCACCTTCCATTTTTAGACTGATTTCCTCTCTCCCTAGTTGCAGACCAGATCCCCATTCTAGGGCCCTGTGCATCACACAGGCTGGAGCGGGGAGAGGCACGGAGGCTTCTGCTCATGCTGCTTTCCCTATGGAAAGATGACTTCCAGGGGCCAGTCCCACTGCAGCTACTGCTGAGCCCGAGAAACGTGGGGCTTCTGGCAGACACTCGGCCACGGGAGGTAAGTCAGATAGGAGGATAGGACAGCTCCTTAGTAGCCAGGGTCTTGATGGTTTAGCACCCCTGCGGAGCTGCCATGCTTCCTGTTCTGCACTAAAGCAGACTCTTTGTGTTTGTCTCGAAGTCTACAAAGCAGCAGTCTGTCCCAGTCATGGTCACTCTGCAGTGCCCCAGCAATGCTAACCTCCTCCATGGTGGACTTTTCAGTGGGACTTGCTGCTGTTCTTGCTACGGGAGCTGGTAGAAAAGGGTTTGATGGACCGAATGGAGATTGAGACCTGCCTGGGCAGCCTCCATGAGGCCCTGTGGCCAGAGGTAAGTTGGTCCCCTCCTATCTCACAGGAAGGAGAGGTGTCATACAGCCCATTTGTCCCTGGACAGGACAGTAATGGTGGCAGACCTAGTGGATTTGTGTCAGATTTCTTCAAGAATACAGGGGATGAAGCATGGCTTATTATGGTTATTTCAGACCAGGGTAGCTGCTGTCTGAGGAACTGGGGCGGGGGGGGGGGGGGGAGGAGGGCAGCAGGGAACAACGAGTATGGCTTTTTATTTTTTGGTGGAACCAGGGATTGAACTTAGGCCCTCACACTTGCCATGGAAGCACATATTCCACTGAGCCATCTCCCTGGCCCGAGAGTAGCTTTTTAAAATCAAGATAACCTGGATTTAAATCTCAGCCTAAATTTTTTTCTTTTGTGACTGGGATGTGTGGAGGAAGTAGTTTCAAGATGAGATACTATGTAGTGAATTGGTAACAGTAGCACAAGCACATAAAGGTAGGCTAATTAAAGCCTCAACCTCCTCCAGAGTTCACCCTGCCCTGACATACACCTCCCCAGATACTAGAGGACAAGGTCCCACACCCACTTCAGTATTCTCTGGGGCATGTCTACTTCGTGATAACCTAGGGATTGATTTTTAGACATACCATCTCTACCCTTTTTTGTCACCTTTATCCTTAATTCCAGGACTTCTCTGAAGAATTAGAAACACTGACTCGCCTATTTCTAGCTGAGCTCCATCTGCCAGAACCTCAGCAAAGAGCTTGTGAGTTAGTACAGCCGAGCCGGGGAACAGTGCTGGCCCAGAGCTAGGATCACACCTTACCTCAAGAAGAGACCTGGAACCCACTGTGGCTAAGGAGTGGGATCTGCAACCAGACTTCATGCCCAGGAGGGAAGGAAGTGTGTGGCACTGGAGTTGCCCACAGACTAGGCTTGCTGCCAGATCCTAGAAGAGAAGCCTAGAGGCTCCAGTCCTGAGTGGAAAAGCTGGTATTTCTCAGATGCTGAACAAAAGGAGTGTAGCCTGATCAACATGGTACACAGGCTTTGCTTGCTGCTATCTCAGCATCTCTGAAACATGTGGTCCCAGGTAGTCATGTTAGAGGCAAATGACTTGTGTTTAACTTGTGAAGAAAGTTAAAACATGGGTCATGGGAGGTTACATTTTACCACCAGGAATTGGACTGCCATATACACCACAGAGATGGTGGTAGGACCCACTGGCTGAAATCTGCCATGATCTGGACCTATACAGGACCCTGTCTCCACCCAGGGACGAAGGACAGGGCAGAACATTGAGTTTTTTAAAAAATAAACTTTTAACAAGGGCTTGACAGCTGTTTTCCCTAGTGTCTTCCTTGATGAGGTAGATTTTGAGCTGGGAGCTGGAATCACAGCCTGGGGCCAGGGAGATGGCTCAGTAGAATAAGCGCTTCCCTGGAATCACAGCCTGACCAGCCAGCCAGCCACCTACCTAAGCCGTCCATGCAAAGCCCATCTCCCACCTTGAGGCACTGTCTGCTGCTAACTTCCTGCTGCTGTAGTGCATAATTCTCCAGTGTGCAGCTCCCCTATGCTCAGGGACAGGCTTAGGATACAGTGCAATTTCCACTCACAGGAGCCTCCCTGCTGAGCCATATGGTGGGGCAGCTTCTGGAGTGTTCGATTCAGCTCAAAATGTACTGTGGAGCAAAGCATTCTATTTTTAGAGTAATTGTTGAGACCATGTCTCTCAAAAGTAAACCAGTGATTTTGACAAAGAGAGCATCACTTTGATAATGTGCATTAAATTCCTACAGTTTTTCTGTGAGGAGAATAAGACAATTTGTTTCTCTGTTGGGAGAAATAGTGTGTACTGAACTCTTTTAAGTGGCTTGCAAAATCTGTGCATATAGTATTTCTTAGGGGCAGAATTCCTAGTTGTCAGAAAGGTTGCTGACCCATATTTTCTGTCCTCAGAGAAAGCTTTCTATGCTACCACACCAAAGGCAAGAGGTGCCATCACCACCAAGCCAGAGAATAGGAGTTTCTTAATCACACTACTTGCTACCTGCCTCTTCCGCCCTCCACTCATCCAAGTCACTCCTTTAAAATTTCTGCACCTGAGCCTTTTTTCCTAATCTCTGTCCTTCAAATTCAGTGTCTTAGATGAATCAAGTGTGTCCAGGAGACTGAATCCAGGTTCTTCCACACACTAAACATGTGCAGTGCCAGTGAGAAGTGTGTTTCTTCATGCTGGGTGTGGTGGTATATGCATGTAGGCCCAAGGCAGGATGATGAGGCAAAGGCAGGAGGATCTCTTGAGTTTGAGGTCAGCCTGGGCAACATAGTAAATTGAAGGCCAGCCTGACCTTGTATCTTTTTTTTTTTTTTTAAAGAAAGGAAAGGTTTATTTAGCTCACAGTTGCTGGAGGTTTCAGCCCATACTCAGCTGGGTCCAAGGCAGAGCAGCACAAAACAAAGGTCAACCTTTCATGGCGGCGACAAAGAGCAAGAGCATAGGGGAGAGGTAGCAGCTCAAGCAGCTAGCTTCTCTTCCCACCTTACATTTAGTACTTGGATGGGAGACTTTATATCTTATGGTCTCAAATGTACAATAATCCTCCTACCTTAGCCTGAGTGCTGGAATTACAGACATGTCCCACCACGCTCAGCTTGTTTTTTGCTTTCCAGAGACAAGTATTACAACAGTATGGTTAAGCCACAGCAAAGCGGAACCCTGCTGAGGGTAAACAGGATCACAGCTACTTTCTGGTGTGCTCAGGAGAGCCTGAAGCCCCAAAGGCTGCTTGGCTTATAAAGACCTGGCTTAAGATCACTTGAGTGAAAACCAGATGCATACATAGGGTCCTGGTGAAGGACCACTTCCTGATGGTCTGTGTGAGCCTTACAGGCTACTCTTTTTTTTTTTTTTTTTAATTATTTTTATTTATTACATTTATTTATTGTGTGTGTGTGTGTGTGGCCAGCTCAGCCCACAAGGGGGCGGGGCTGGCTGGCATGTGGTGCTGGGGGATCGAACCGCAGTCCCTGTGCTTTGCCAAGCTTGTTTCAAGTAGGTGCTTTAGACCACTGAGCCATCTCTCCAGCCCCCAGGCTACTCTTTAAGGGTTCTGGAGGTAGGGAACTAAAGAACCAGTGAACAGTAATCCGATTCCTTTTTACATGTCTGCACTCTGAATTGTCTAAACCAGCAGCCTTTAAAGTCCAGGGGCCGGGGACATGGCTCAGTAGAATAAGTGACTGCCTGGCAAGCGCAAGGGCCTTAGTTCCAGAAAAAAAAAAATAATAATAATAAAAATAAAGTGTAGTCCATAGACCAAGAGCCTCTGCATCATGTGGGACTTCCTAGAGATACAGATGGCATGACCTCTCCAGCTTACTTGGAGGGTCAGGTCCAGCCTGGAGTGTAAGGAGGTCTTCTGGTGATTCTGGTGATGTCAAAATTTGAGATCCACTTGTCTAAACCAAAATCTGATTCTGCATTTAGCTTAACTGTCACTTATGATTTGCTACAAAATGAGCCTCACTATAGTCAGCTTCCAGTATCTTTGGGGACTGGTTGCATGATGCTTAGGCCCTGCATAAAATGGCACAATATTTGCACAAAATAATCATCCTCTACACTTTTTCCTCCAGTACTATATATTTGAGTCATTTCTAGATTATACCTATTACAAGGTAAGCTGAATATATGTTATGTATTGTTTAAAAAACAATGACAATGTTTTCCTCCAATATTTTGGATCTGTGTTGGCTGAAGGCACAGATAAGGAACAGAGGTCAGGGCTGACTACTCATACTGCTGGCTCAGGGCTGGTATGTAAGAGAATCAGTGTCACTATGCAGCTGTCCCTTCACTTTCCAATTCCTGCATCTGCCTTCCTCTCCTCCAGCCCTAGGCTGTCTGCTCACCTTTTCACTTGGTGGTTCCTGGTGACTGGGTGGCTTTGGGCTCAAGAAGCAGTCACAGGCGAGTCACTCAGAGGTGCAGAGTCTTGAGTGCAGGCCAAATCCTACCAGGCTCAAATGACAAACACAAGCAATTCTAAGACTGCCCCTGAATACAAATACATGTGGGACTTCTGGTTCACAGATATCCTGATCTTTCTGGTCAAGTCTTCATAAAGAGATTTATATATAAAGAGGTAAAAATACATAATCAAATGTTACAAAAGAAAACAAAAATAAAAGTTTTTAAAACTTCAGTCATGTATAAATAACAATCTAAGGTAAGAAAAAAAGCCTTGCAGCATTCTCAGAAGTGAAAATTGTTCCTGCACTGCACAGAAAATCCTTGCCTCTTGCCCCTCACCCACTTGGTCCCCATGTGACTATTCTTTACTACCACAGACTTGGGCAACTGAACGGCAGGACAGAGTGCCCCTAGTCACTACTTCCTGGGAAACTGAATTAGCAGAAGTGGAGCCAAGAGCAGCTCCCTCTGGACAATTCCTTGCTAGGCCCTAGCCCAGATCCACCCATTGCTTCCCCAATGTCTTCTGGCTCTGACACAAAGACCCACATGTCAGAAAAGGGAGAAAAAAGATAAAATGAAAAGGCATTTTGCAAAAATTCACCAGAGAGAAAAGATTCTAAAAGGGCATTCTGGTTTGGGCTGCTATTTTCTTTCAAAACTGCTTTGGTCCTGACTCCACCAAAGGGCAAGCTGCCTGCTAGAAGGAAGGCAGAGGGAGAGTAGAATCATGGTCTCAGCTGCTTGCTTCCTGCCAGCTCTCCCAGAGGCAGGGCAGGATTAAGGAGGCGATGCACTAAACTTCCCCAACTCTGATGGGCGAGTCCAAAAAAATGGAAAATGAAAATGAGAAATCCAAAAGGTGAGCTTCATTCTCAGGATAGTTAGGGCCAGAAGCCCAAAGTACAAAAGTGCCAGAAGCACCTAAGGACTGACTGACTTTGCTGGCAACCTTGGGCCAGTGCCAAATGTGAAGTTAGCCAGCACAGGTAGCCTCAGCTCTTCTCACCTTAGGGCCATGGCATCAGCTCAGCAACACCATCTTGACAAGGCAATGCTAGCTACCAAGGAAGGAAGCCAGCCTGGCCACGATCAGGGGCTGTTGTTTGATAAAGGAACTCAGGAGATGAGGGGGAAAGCCTGGAGCACCCAGTTCTACCTGCAAGTGAGAAGGCAGAGTTGGGGGTTAAAACAGACCTGAAGGTGCCAGGACCTTCCTATCCCACAGCCACCCTGGATGGGACAAAGGGAGGTATACCAGGCCCCACAGCCCCTGTCTACACACCCCTGGGTTCCACTGCTCAGATCTCAGCATCAGCTCTCACCCCCACCCCATTGACGAAGTTATGGGACTGAAAGTAGAAAGCCAAACAAAATGAAGGACGAGGATGGGCCAAATAGCTCAGACGATTAAAGTACTTGTTTAGGCAGATGTAGCAGCAGGTTCAATCCCCCTGGGGCATGCTGAGAGGATGATCAAGATAATCCCAGCTCTCAGGAGGCTGAACAAGGTTGATCACTACAAGTGGGATCTATATAGTGAGACCCTATAGACCCTATAGACCCTTACTAAAATGCAATAAAAAAAGAAAGAAAGAAAAAGAAAAGACAAGACATAGAAAGCCAAATTGTTCTGAAAAAAAAAAAAAAAAAAGAAGGATAATTCACTCTATCAAGCTGTGCATTTAAAATAGGGTCTCACTAAATTGTCCAGGCTGGCCTTGAACTTGAGATCCTCTTGCCTCAACTTCCTGAGTGCTGGGATCACAGGTGTGTACCACTGTACCCAGCTTAGAGGTGGCTGCAATGGTTACCTTGCAATGATTCAACTACAATCTAAGGATCCTGGATAAGTTCAGCCACAGAATACAACTTCAGAAACAACTTCAGGTACAAGCACCTTCTGAAAGGCTAGTAAATGCTCATTCTCTGTATCTGACTCCCCAGTGGGAGCCCCAGAAGCCTTGAGTCTCCAGCTATTGGGCAGGGTGTTACCCAGAAGGACTGAGAGATCACAGCATGTGCTGTGAAGCCAGTATCACCTGGGCCAAGTAGATGACTCTGGTAATTTCCTTCCCTTCCATGGTGACAGGCTGCAGGATCCAGGCACTAGGCAAGATCTCCCCTCGGACCATTTTTTTGCTGGGTCTTGGCATGGATGTGTCATATACAGACTGAGCTGCCACTATAGACAGGTACCCCTGGGGACAGAGACCTGAGTCAGGGGACAGGCTCCATATAGTCAGAATGGAACAAAGCAACACTGGCCAGCTTTCAAGCTGCCGCTGCCCTGGCCCCATCCCCAGTTTGCTTTCCTTCCCATGGAGGGCCCACACCCATGCTGCGCCTCACAACGTTCCAACACACATTCTTCCCATGACATCTTTACCACTACTGAGGCAGGCACCTCTTTGGCTTCTACGCAGACACAACAGAAATCCCGCGGCTGCTTCAGCGCACACAGGGAGGCATTGCATACCAGGTACACTGGAGAGGCAGGACAAGGCAGTCAGGAACCCTGAGCGGATCTTCACCTAAGTCCTTTCTGCCTGCAATCCCCTTTACTCCCTGACTGACAACCCAAGGAAAGCTAGGCCAAGCACTCTGGGATGGCCTGAGAAATGGGCCTCCCAACAGGGCTGCCTCCTACCCTCCACCTCCATCCCTGGCCAGAGTCCATTGCACACATCAGAAACTTGGTCCCCAGAAGCCTCGGGCTCACCCAAGCTGATGCTGTTGGTCACCCGCTGATGCAGCCTTGCCGTCTGGATGGGCTTGTGATACAGGGGCCACAGGGTTGGGTCACTGACAGCTGCCCACACATGAGATAGCGGCTGAGCCACAACACCTGCCCCCAGAAAGCCATGCCGAGTAGAAGAAAATTCCTTGTAGTAAAGCTGTACCTCCTGCTCCTCACCTTGATAGCTTGAAGATAATGATCAGAAAGAGAAAGAGATTTTAAAAAAATAGCACGGTGCACACTTCTAATTCCAGTACTTTGTAAGGCTGAGGAAGATGAATTACAAATTACATCTACCCAGTCATTTAGTGACATACTGAGACCTTATCTAAAACTTTTATTTATTGGGTTTTGGGGTTTGTTTTTTTTTTGAGGTACCAAGAATTCCAGGGGCCGGGGAGATGGCTCAGTGGAATAAGCACTTCCCTAGCAAGTGCAAGGGTCTGAGTTCAATCCCCGGTTCTACAAAAAAAAGAAATAATAATAATAATAACAACAACCCCACCTTGGGGCCGGGGAGATGGCTCAGTGGAATAAGCGCTTTCCTGGCAAGCGCAAGGACCTGAGTTCAAACCCCGGTTCTGGAAAAAAAAAAAAAAAGAATTCCAGACCTTGCACTTGCAAAGCAGGTGCTCATGCCACTGAGCCATCTCACCAGCCCTCCAGAACTTTTAAAAAGGGGTAGAAATGTAGTCCAGGGTAAGACTCTGGGTTCCAGTACCAGGGAAAGAAAACAATGGGTTCCAAAGCAGACAAGAGGAGCTCAGGGTGTGGGATTCAGGGAAGTCAGGCAGAGAAGTGGGGAGGAAAAGAAGCCAAGCAAGACAAGAGTACAAGTGAGACGCTACAGAGGGACTTACTTCCAGCCTGCTGTTGCGTGGCAGCTGAACAGGTTGTGCAGATTATTGGAACAAGCAGTCATTACCTGGAGACAGTCACCACACTAAATCAGTCCACATGCAGAGGGCATGGTACTCACCAGGACCCTAGGTCAGTCAATGCCTGTTTCTTAAGATCGAGCTACTAAGGAGGGCCACAGCCCTGATTCTGGGTCTCCTCCCACCCCCATCTCTGCCCCCACCCCTGCCCCAGGACAGGTCTGGCTAAAGCAGCAGTGAGGATGAGTTGGGGCAGTTACATTGGCCATGGCAGTGTCCACGATGTGCTTAGCCAAATCCTGGTAGGAGGAGGAGAAGCAGGTTCCCAAGCTAGACAGGCTGGATGGGGAGCAGCAGCAACCGCCCAGGGAGCCTCGGTGGCCTGCAAGAAACAGGTGGAGGCTTTGAGACAGGACTGAATGCAGAACTCAGGACAGCGACAGCTCTATGCAGGGACATTGATATGAGTGCTGATACCCTCAGGTCAGTGACTTAACTCCTGAGTCCCAAAACCAAGACCTATATCCCACCTGCCCACCACTCACTGTAGGGAGAGCTCTTCAGGGCAGATCCAATCAGATACAGGTTACTGCTCTTTAAGGCAGTCTGGCTTCGCCCATCCCCCATCCAGGCGGCTCTGGAATCAGGCAAGTTCGAGTCCCTCTGTGGAACAGAAGGCATTCAGGGCCAAAGAGTTGGCAACATGGTGCAGAATGATGTCACTGCTTCCCTGTGATGCCTCAGTTTACAAATCCTCCCTCCTGCGATTCCAGGAGACAGAATGCCCCCAAGAGGTCACAAACAATAGAAATCAATCCTAGAACAACCTATCCTTGCCTGTCAGGCCACAGTTTTCAGAATTCCCACAGGAACCAGAACTGAGTGGCAACCTCAAGGATGGCGGTGGAAGGCATTTTGCACCACCATAAGGCCATGGGTTTTGGGGTGGGAGGCTGTTGTGGGTCATAAAGCCAAACTGGAAGATGTGTCAGAAAGGAAAAACACTGCGCCCTGTAAAACTGAAACCCTAATCCCTGCCCCCAGGAACAGCTGCTAGGCCAAAGTCCTAACATGGAACCAAATGGGGCTGGTCCTCTGAAGTTAAAACAATTTTACCTATGATAGTGTTGCAGGCAGCCAAGTTGGATAGAAATATTATAGGCAGTCAGATAGGGCCAGGCCCTCGAGGAGACAAGATGGAAGACAAGGTGACCTTGCAACTTTTGGAAGAGACAGACACTCCCATTTGGGCCACATCTCAAGACCAAGACAAAAAGAGGAAACACAGCTACATACTTCCCTAGGGATGGGCTGATATCCTAAATAGGTATCAATCACCTTGAAAGAGCCCAAGTGAGTCACTAGCCCAACCCCCAACAGGAAAAGACCATCCCATATTCATGCCCCCTTGCTACATGACTCACTTCCTCATTTGGTCCTGGATTTAATCAATTTTACCTGAGCAATGGTGCTTGTAATCTCATTAGTTGACCAAAGTTTTGTCCCACCTCATGCCCAACTAAGCGACTTCCCATGTTCTCCACCACCTTAGACCTGCCTCATGGCATGGTTTTCCTCTATAAAAGTCCCTGGAAGAGACAACCTCCTGGAGACAATCCGCTTGGGCCCCCTCCTCTCCCTCTCTCAGACAGGAGCTTTCTTTCCCTCACTAAATATATTCTGCTCATGACCTCTGTTTGTTCCTAAAATTCATTCTTCAGTTTTAGAGAACATGAACTTGTCCAGGTCAGGTAGGGGGATCCTTTTTCCCCTATGTCATTTGGAGGTTCCCTATATCGTTTGGAGGTCATCCACCTGAGATCAGTTTTTCTCCCTGTATCAATAGTACCAAAAGGAGCAAAGTATTTACAAACAGAGTTGACAAGTAAAAGACACGTGCTATTCTGTAAATGTTAAAACTGTTAAGAAGGGGCTGGAGAGATGGCTCAGTGGTCTAAAGCACCTATTTAGAACAAGCTTAGCATAGCACAGAGACCACGGTTCAATCCCCCAGCACCACATGCCAGCCAGCCCCGCCCCCTGGTGGGCTGAGCTGGCCACACACACACACACACACACACACAATAAATAAATGTTAAAAAAAAAAAAATTCTTCTTTTAAAACTGTTAAGCAGGGTGTGGTGGTATACACCTATAATCCCAGCAATGAGGAGGGTGAGGCAGGAGAATTGTTATCAGTTTGAGGCCAGCCTAGACTACATAGTGAGACTCTGGCTTTAAAAAAAAGCATGGTGGGGGCCAGGGACATAGCTCAGTAGAATAAGCGTTTGCCTGGCAAGCACAGGGTCCTGAGTTCAATCTCCGGTACTGCAAAAGAAAAAAAAAAAAAAAAAAAAGCACAGTGATGCACACCTGTAATTCCAACACCTTGGGAAGCTGAGGCAGGAGAATCACTGTGAGTTCAAGACCAGCCTGGACTACAAAGTGAGCTCAAGGCCAGCCTAAACTGCATAGTGAGACCCAAGAAAAAAGAAAATACACACACACACACACACCCTAAATAAGGATTTCCCTGTTTGTGGAGTTAAAGTGCTAACTGGATAAAACTCAATACTCCCTTCCACTGTGGTGGGAAGTTCAGTGAAATTCCAAATCAAAACCTCAGCTGACTTCTTCACCAAAAGTGACAAGCTGATTCTAAAATTCATGCGTAAATTTAAGGGACTCAGAACAGGCAAAGTCACCATGAAAAAGAATAAAAGTTGAAGGATACACACTTTCTGATTTCAAAATCTGATTTCAAAAGCTACAGAAATCAAGCCATTATGCATGAGAACAGGTCACTAAGCTGTAGTGATTGATACTTTGTGTCAACTTGAGAAGTTTAAAAGTCTAATTGAGTGGCAGCAGGGAGCCCCGGTTCTTTGTAAACATCCTCATCCTGTACAAGAGGAGGGCCTGGACACTGTGGGAGTTCTACACCCCCACCCCAGGGTAGCTTGTGTATAATATAAGGAGGGGAGGGGGGCTGGCTAGAAGCCCAGCTGCTGCCCTTCCCTTTGCTCTCTGCTGTTTACTGCTGCCCTGCTACCCTCTGCCGTGTGCCACTCCACCTGGGAGCCAGTCAAGTACAGACTGAAACCTCCACAAAGGAGCTAAATAAACCTTTCCTTCCTTAACTTTGGATATTGAGTAATTTGTCTCAGCAATGAGTAAAAAGTAACTGAGACAAGTACCAAGTGCTTAGTATGTGTGAAGCCCTGTGTTCAGTCCCTGGCACCTGAAAGGTAAGAGAAGACACAGATCAACAGAATAAGGAGCCCAAAAATAAACCCACACATCTATAATTCCCTGATCTTCCACAGGATGCTGAGACAACACAATGTGGGGAAAGCAGGTTTTCTGACAAATTGTGATGAGAAACGGGCATCCACTTTCTACTTCAACCTTCTGCTTCAATGTAAGAGATTAACACAAAACAGTTCAAAGATCTAGCTGTAGGAACTACAAATGTAAAACTCTTATAGGCTAATCACAGAAGAAAAGAGACACATGACTGTTGTGACCTTGAATTAGACACTAGTTTCTGAAATATGATACACACAAAAGGAAAACAAATGACATCAAAATTTTATAAATTTTTAACACTTGTGCTTCAAACAGCACCATATAAGGACACTGAAAAGAAAACACACAGAATGGCAGAAAATTTTTGTAAATCGTACTTCTGATTAGGTTTTGTACTAGAATATATAAAAAACTATTGCCAGGCATAGTGGTACACACATGAAAGCCCAGCACTTGGGGGGCGGTGGCAGGAGGATCACTGTGAGATCAAGGCTGTTCTGGACTATGGACTATACAGTTAGTTCAAGGCCAGCCTGAGCTGACCCTGTCTCAAAAAAAAAAAAAGAAAAGAAAAGAAAAGAAAAAACTATTAACAATAAAAACGGGGCTGGAGAGATGGCTCAGTGGTCTAAAGCACCTACTTGAAACAAGCTTGGCAAAGCACAGGGACCGCAGTTCGATCCCCCAGCACCACATGCCAGCCAGCCCCGCCCCCTGGTGGGCTGAGCTGGCCACACACACACACA